GGGCTCAGGTGTGTCGCTCCTGCTTTCTCAAGCTCAGTGCTGCTGGTAATGGGCATAGGCGACCCCATGCGGGCACTGACAGGGCCCCGCCAAGCCTGCAGGATCCCAACATCCTAGAACAGGGCCCGCAGCACTTGTGTGCAGGCGAGGCTTGAGAGGCAGCCATTAGCCAAGTGGTTCTGGACCAAGACTGCCCAGCAGGATCACAGGGCCAGGTCTGAGAGACGCGCTCACCCGCGGCTTCTCCCACAGCCTCTACTGCACTGACCTGGCTGGGAGCCTCGGTGCTGTCCTCCTGCAGTGCCCGTGTCCTACTCAGGGTCACGCACGAGGGTTCTCGGGGCACCGACTCCCACCTGCATGGGTGGCTGGGAGTGGGTCAGCACCGTCCAGATCCCCACTGCGGGGGCAGACACTGTTTGTGGTAGAGGCCGGCACCTGCAGGCAGGAGAGGAGGAACTACAATTTTGTTCTCGGTGTAGGAGCACCTGTTCCTGAATCTCTACAGCGCCAAGGCACAGGGAGGGTGGCCTTTGTTCCCCTTCAGAATCCTTCTGCCTGTGGGTGTGCTGACACCATGAAAGGCAGCGGGACAGGTGGAGGGCATCTTGGCAGAGAGAACTGGAGACAGAAGAAAGGGCCGCATGTCAGGTCCCTGTGGCCCAGGTCAGAGGCTGCGCCCTCTTTTCTTCCTCTTGGGCCTGGCATTTTGCCATTGCAAACATCACATCTCCGCATCTCACATTCCTGCATTCTGAGTGCACTTTAAAGGACGAGTTTTCCCTTTTCTTCTGTGACTGTCAGGTGAGCTCTTTCAAATACTTCTCTCCTATATTCCAGAACCTTCTCTTCCTCCTGGGTTTTTCTCTTTCTTTTCATTTCTCTTTTCTTTTCCTTTCCTTTCTTTTCTTTTCTCTTTTCTCTTTTCCATGAACATTCTCACCATGAGTTGATGACCTGTGATGTTGAAAATGGTCCCTTCCTGATGGATGACCATGGGAAAGCGGGGATACCTGACTCCTATCAGGGCTGAGGTCAGGTCCTGGATATCAGTGTAGATGATGATTGTGTAGTGTTCAGGCTCCATCTGTGTGCTCCACAGATCTGTGCAGAAATGCACACTGGAACAAGATGGGATTCCTCACCAAGGATAACTCAGAAACTCTGTAAGGGAATCAGAAGAGACCTGCTCCCTGGGACGCTACAGACAGACTCAATATTCTCTGTTCAAGGGTCCATTGCTGTGGCATAGTGGGTAAAGCCACTGCCTGCAGTGCCTGCATCTCATAGGGAAGCCAGTTCGAGTCCCAGCTGCTCCACTTCCGATCCAGCTCTCTGCTATGGCCTGGGAAAACCGTTGAAGATGCCCCAAGACCTTAGGCCCCTGCACCCATGTGGGAGATGTGGGAGACCTGGAAGAAGCTCCTGGCTCCTGGCTTCAGATTGGCCCAGCTCCAGCCATTGTGGCCAACGGGGAGTGAAACAGTAGATGGAAGACCTCTCTCTGTCTCTCTCTGCCTCTCCTTCTCTCTCTGTGTAACTCTTTCAAATAAATACATCTTAAAAATATATTTTGAGACTACAGAACCTGGGAGAGGTGTGTTTCAAAGCTTGTATAGAACCTACATCTTCCACGATTCGATTCAGATTAAGCTTTACCTGCTTTTGGTCCACAGTATCACAGCAAGGGGATGTGCATCAGCACCTGCCACTGATTTGTGCTGGGACAGCTGACATTAGCTTCAGTCACCTGGTCTAGTGTGGGGAGCAACTGGGAGCAACTGGGACTAGACTAAGTTACTGGAATTAAGACTTATTCTATGCATCTGCTCTCCCACAATATGGCGCTGGGAGAGGAGGAAACAGCTTCTACACAGCTGCCTCCAGTTCAACCAATAAGCAGCAGGACCTGCTCCTGATTGGAGGAGAGCAGCGTACTCGGCGTGTGGGTAGCAGAGTTGGGATTGGTGGAAGAGGACTATAAAGGAGGAGAGAGACAACATGCACCAGGAACATCTAAGGGGAACATCTATCTGAAGGAACACCTGTGCAGCCCCCGAGAGAGCCGGCTGGCGGTGTGCCGCTTCCCCGCAGAAGTGGGGAAAGTGGCCAGGGGGAACCGCCCTTCCACAGAGGTGGAAGGGACGGCAGCCAACCCGGGAAGAACCAGCAGCAAACCCGGGGAGGGCCGAGCAGACAAAAGAGCAGCGCAGGGTCCTGTGTCATTCCTCCATGAAGACGGGGAGTGACATAATGGTGCCGTGACTCGGATTGGAAAGCTAGGAGGGATAGGAAAACCTAGGAGGGAAAAAACGGGAAGAAGTGGGAAATTACCGGAGAGAGAGATTAGCAAAGAGCCTAGGGGAAAGCCGGATGGAAAAGGTGCCGGAAGAAGCTATTGAAAGCCTAGGCATAGGCTCGGATACAGACTACGGGGGGAAGCTGGGAGAAATCTCTAAGGTCGAAAGTGAAAATGAAAGCTAGAACAAACAGACTCGGATACGGACTGTGGGGAGAAGCCAGGAGAAATGAGGGAGGAATATTGTTGGAAGAAAACTTAGGGAAACATACCGGGTAGAGAAAAATGTTAGGGAAATTGAAGCCGCGGGGGGCAGGCCGAGGTGGAAACGTAAGCCAGCTTGGAATTCTTTAAGTCAGCCCGGGGGGCAAAAGGCGAAAATCTGGAACCAGAGGCAGAGACATGGGCCGCCAGGTTGGAATCCGTCAGATTAGCCTGGGGAGCAAAAGACGGGAAGCCAAACCGTGGGGCGGAAACGTGAGCTGGGTTGAATTCGCCAGGTTAGCCCGGGGAACTTAGATTGAATACCAGTGGCGGAAACGTGAGCTGGGGCTGTGTGACTCGCGGAGGCTGCTGCGCGCAGAGAGAGCGTGCGGGGCACAAGTAGATAGGGAACGCTGGGCTAGTGCGAGGCCGTGGTGCGGGCGCGCGAAGCCGGGAAGCCGCGCAGATGAGAGAAGCGTGGGCTGAAGCGGCTCAGAGCTGGGAAGCCGCCGAGAAGCAGCCTCGGGGTAGGCGCTGGGAAGCCGCAGGGATAAGAGAAACAGAAGTTTAGAAGTAAAATGAGAGAAATAGGAATGCTGGCAGATAGAATTAAAATGGGAGAGATAGGAATGCCCGGAGATAGAGAAATAGAGAAAAATAAGGCCTCCCCTCAACATGGCAATGAGAGAGCTTGGATTCGGTCTGCCTGATTAGGGAGGTGGTGAGCACCTGCGGGCGGCTAGCAGCTTATGTGCCGCAGGTCACCAAAGACAGGCACGAATTAACATCAATAAGTCTCCCCACAATACCGCAATGAGAAGTCTTGGATTCGGTCTGCCTGATTAGTAAGGCGATAAGCACCAGCAGGCAGCTCGACCAGAGTATGAGCTGCAGGTCACCGAAGATAGGCACGTTATCAACACCAATAAGTCTCCCCACAATACGGCAATGAGAAGGCTTGGATTCGGTTTGCCTGATTGGTAGGGCTTGTAAGCACCTGCAGGCAGTTCTAGCAGAGCATGCGCTGCAGGGCACCGAACACAGGCACGCATCAGCGCCTAAAAACCTCCTCACAACATGGCGAAGAGAGGACCCGGACTCGGTTTGCCTGATTGGTAGGCTTGTAAGCACCTGTGGGCAACTCTAGCAAGCAGAGCAGAGTGTGTGCCGCGGGGCACCGAAGACAGGCGCGTATCAATGCCAAAAATAAAAAGAAAGGGGGATCTGTGGGGAGCAACTGGGAGCAACTGGGACTAGACAAAGTTACTGGAATTAAGACTTATTCTATGCATCTGCTCTCCCACAATATGGCGCTGGGAGAGGAGGAAACAGCTTCTACGCAGCTGCCTCCAGTTCAACCAATAAGCAGCAGGACCTGCTCCTGATTGGAGAGCAGCGTACTCAGCGTGTGGGTAGCAGAGTTGGGATTGGTGGAAGAGGACTATAAAGGAGGAGAGAGACAACATGCACCAGGAACATCTAAGGGGAACATTTATCTGAAGGAACACCTGTGCAGCCCCTGAGAGAGCCAGCCGGTGGTGTGCCGCTTCCCCGCAGAAATGGGGAAAGCGGCCAGGGGGAACCGCCCTTCCATGGAGGTGGAAGGGACGGCAGCCAACCTGGGAAGAACCAGCAGCAAACCCGGGGAGGGCCGAGCAGACAAAAGAACAGCGCAGTGTCCTGTGTCGTTCCTCCACGAAGACGGGGAGCGACAGTCTAGGACTCTGCCCGCTTCCTCCAAGAGGGATAGTTTTCTGCATACAATGAAAGCATATCTTGGGGTGACTGACTTAGTGATGTGTATACATCACCACCTATAGTGCGAGTTGTGCCTTTTTAGGTTCTCTTTGCTCATAGCTTGCCTTGGGGGATGAAGGCTCTCATCTTTGCTGCCTATCAGCTGCCACAGTTGGGAGGGGCTGAAACACTGTGACCTCTTGCTCGGGTTTGCATTTCACTGTGCTCTGGTCACAGGTGAGCTCCTCATCCTGCTATTTCGAAAACAAGAAACAAGAACCAGGTAATCAGGGTGTGCCCAGGTGTCTTTATATTGTAAGATATAACACAGGCACAGATGATAAATGGAAGACAATGATAAATGGAAGAGAATACATCAAACTTGGAGGCAATAGCTCTGATTTTCTATCATGCGTGTTCGTCTCCATGGTGTGTTGTAAAGAACCCCAAATCATCCTCTGGAATCTGTCCTTTTCACACAGTTAAAAATGCTGAGAGAGCTTTGATGACAGGGCCCAAATTGCAGGTGGCAGGAGTGAGCTCTTAGTGGGCAGCACAGTGGGATGACTGCAGGAACAACAGAGAGGGAAATGTAGGTTACCTTATTTGACCCCTGCACACTGTAAACCTGCATTGCAGTGTTACGTTGTGTCTTAAATATATATATTTTAGTACTAATACTATTTTCAAAAAGATTTATTTTGGAGTTATGGTTACAGGGAGAGGAAGAGACAGAGCTCATAAAGGGAGGCCCCTCAAATCAAACTGCATGGTCTACAAGCTGGGCTTCCAGATTACATCTGGGGCAGGTGACCCAGATCCCCCCTGTTACTCCCTTCAGTACTCAGCAGACTAGCCCTCCTTCTTCTTACCTGAAACTTAAGAGAGGTGTTCCGATGGAGAAGAACTGAGGAAAAAGGCAAGGCATTTCACATTCCACTGAGAGCCAAATCCACACGTAAGGTAGGGAACTGGGCTGTTTGGACACTGGAAGGAGGGTTGTGATTAGGAATGCCAAGTCAGGTGTATTTCATTGCATTGTATTTGTGCATGGGGGAGGCAAATGGCTTTTAGATCCCAGAGAGGTTTAAGAACTATGATTCTATATTGAATGGGGAAGAGTTGGAAGCATTTCCACTAAGATCTGGAACCAGACAAGGATGTTGTCCATTTCCACCATTGCTATTCAGTATAGTTCTGCACTTTTGGCCAGAGCCATTAGGCAAGAAAAAGAAATCAAAGGGATATAAATTGGAAAGGAGGAAGTGAAATTATCCCTGTTTGCAGATGACGTGATTCTATAGATAGTGAAACCAGGGTTCGTGGGGTGTGGTTCAAAAACATTATCTCAAATTCTGTCTACAGAATCAGAACAACACTGAAATGGAAAGGACTCTAGAAAGAGGAAACCAGTTTCCATGACATAAAAAGGAGGACTTTTTTGTCTTTGCTGTGCTTTTTTTTTTTTTAACTTTTTTTTTGGTCCCAAGTGAACCATCAAATCGGTAACTGATTAAGGGAATGGAAGGAACTGCTTAATGGATTAAAAGTGTTTGTGGAGCCTACAATCCAGGGATAATTTGGTGGAGGGCGACTGGGCATGGCCATATCTACTAGAAGATAGTAAGGATCTTAGATGGGAGAGAAAGTGATCAAGTTCACGAGAAGTTCACGGTGACAGCCGCTGGGGTCCTTGGAGCTGCTTTGGGGAGTCTCTCACTCACATGCTTCATCTGCAGGATCCTCACGTAGCAGAGAGTGCAAAATTAAGTTTAGAAAATGAAATGAAGTGACTTGATACTAAAGATATACTGAGACTTATGTAGCCTGCTAGCGGGGACCTAGGCAGGACCCCTGTGAGTGCAGCCAGCAATACACGTTCTAGTCTCCCGGGCAGGAGGCTCCATCCTTTCCAAACTCAGGACATGTTCTAGGGCAGTCCTAGAAGGTACGTTGCTCCTCTGGCCTGAGAGCAGCTGTTGGATTTCACTCACGTCCTTGGGACCCAGGGTACCACGGTATGGACTTTCTACCCATGGCCACTCAGGCAGCCTGGGTGATTTGCTAGTATTTAGTTGATGATTTTTGCATCTGTGTTCATCAGGAATATTTTGTGGTTTGTTTTTTCCCCTTGTTTAATTCTGGTATCAGGATGATGCCAATTTCATCAAAAGCACTGGGAATAATTCCTTCTTCCACTTTCTGGAATACACGGAAGACAGCTGGTATTAGTTTTTCTTCAAATGTTTTGGGAAGACTGGTAGAGAAATAGCCCCCAGGATTTTCTTTGATGCGTGTATTAGTCAGCTTTTTATTTTTTTTAAGATTTATTCATTTATTTGAAAGGCAGAGTTACAAGAGGTAGAGAGAGAGAGTGAGAGAGAGACAGAGAGAGAGAGAGAGACATGACGGTCTTCCATCCACTGGTTCAATTCCCAGGTGGCCGCAATGGCCAGAACTGCACTAATCTGCAGCCAGGAGCCAGGGGCTTCTTCTGGGTCTCCCACAAAAGGGCAAGGGCCCAAGGACGTGGATCATCTTCTACTGCTTTCCCAGGCCACAGCAGAGAGCTGGATCAGAGGTGGAGCAGCTGGGAATCAAATTGGCTCCCACTTTGGATGCCGGCTCTGCAGGTGGCGGCTTTACCTGCTATACCATAGCACCGGCCACAGTCTACTTTTCATTACTATGATGAAATTCCTAAGACAAGTTTCTTATGAAAGAGGGAGGTCTATTTGGCTCATGGGTTAGGAGGCTTGCAGTGCAGTATCAGCTGGACCTATTGGTTTGGCCACCTGGTAAGGTTGGAGGCTGGTAATGGCAGAAGGTGTGCAAAGGAAAGAGAGGCTTGGTTCTACTAGGCTTTTATAACCAATACTCTCAGGAGAACTGTCTTCTGAGGGCATGGTCCCCCTCAGGGACCAGGGACTTCCCATCCCACTGAAGTCACCTCCATAATTGGATTAAGTTTCCAGTTGTTATGTCTGTATTTGTTCAGAAGTCATATCCTATTCAAATCATAGGATTCTCCCCCTGGCTCCCCTTACATGCCTCATACAGTCATTCCATGCCCCATATTTACTAAGTCTCAAGTCAGTCCAGCATTAATTCAAAAGTCCAAAGTCTCAATTGAGATTCAAGACAAACTGCTCCAGTTGCGAACCTGTAACAATTCCAAGGTACACACTTTCAAGATAAAGTGGGGGTCAGGCACAAAGTGTACATTTCCATGCCCAAAGGGAGCTAACAGGCAAGTATAAAGGTTTAATAAACCAAAGAAAGCCCAAACACTAGCAGGGCAAGAATTTGCTGCAGACACTGGCTTAACCCTCTAGCCAAAATGCTGGCCTGAGGCTGCAACTTTTCCAATCCTTTCTGCTCTGCTGTATTTTCTTTCTGATTCTAACTTGTAAGATGGACTGAAAGCAGCCAATAACAACCATGGTGCAGACTGAATACATTGCTGTTTTGAAATCTCATCTGCCGGGGCCAGCACTGTGAGGTAGCAGGTAAAGCTGTTGCCTACAGTTCTGGCATCCCATATGGGTGCTGGTTCAAGGGTGGGTGAGGGAGTGAAGCAGGAAGAAAGAGAGAGAGAGAGAGAGAGAGAGAGAGAGAGAGAATGCATGTACTCCCAACCACAGGTTCACTTCTCAAATGCCTGCACTGGCTGAGACTACACTAGGCTGAAGCTGGGATCTGAAAATTCAAAGTCTCCCGTGTGGGTGGCAGGGATCCAACCACTTGAGCCATCATTGTTGCCTCCCAGGTTCTGTGTTAACAGGGAGCTGGAATCAGGAGATGGAGCTGGATTTGAAACCAGATAGTCTGATATGGGATGCCAGTGCCTTAACTGCCAGACCGAATGCCCATTCCAAGGTTTTCTTTTTATTTTTCTCCCTTAAAAATTATTCATTTGAAAGGCAGAGTTAGAGAGAGTGAGAGACAGAAAGAGAGATCTTCCCTCAGCTGGTTCCCTCCCCAAAGGGCCACGATGGCTGGAGCTGGGCCAGGAGATTCCTCTGGGTCTCCCACATGGGTGCAGGGGCCCAAGGACTTGGGCCATCTTCCGCTGCTTTCCCAGGTGCATTAGCAGGGAGCTGGATTGGAAATGGAGCAGCCAGAACTTGAATCTGAGTCGCCATATGGGATGCTGGTGCCACAGGTGGTGGCTTTACCCACTCTGCCACAGTGCCCTTCCCCCAAGGATTTCTTAAACAAAAAAATATTTATTTACTTATTTAAAAGGCAGAGAGAAATATTCATTCCCCAAATGCTAAATCTAGTGCCCCGACCAGGACTAGAACCCAATGTGCCGGCGCCGCAAGGCAGAGGATTAGTCCAGTGAGCCGCAGTGCCGGCCTCCTCCATTTCTGATCTAGCTCTCTGCTATGGCCTGGGAAGGCAATGGAAGACCACTCAAGTCCTTGGGCCCCTGCACCCATGTGGGAGATTGGAAGAAGCTCCTGGCTCCTGGCTTCGGATTGGTGCAGCTCTGGTCATTGTGGCGAACTGGGGAGAGAACCAGTGGATGGAAGACTTTGCTCTACCTCTGCCTCCCCTTCTCTCTCTGTGTAACTGTGAATTTCAAATAAATAAATAAATCTTATTTATTTATATGTATTTTTTTATGTATTTTTTTATGTATTTATTTATTTATATGTATTTATTTATATGTATATGTATCCTGTGAAAGATAATCCTGTTGAAGAAGTTTCAGTTTTGAGCTAAGAAGATTTTGAAGCAATCAAGAATACAGATTCCGTAACAAGTCAGATTTCACTTTTGGTAGCCCAGTGTCATGAAATGAAACCAAACTTGACACCATTGCAGAATATAAAAAGAAGGAAGAATTATGTTTGTACAGAGTAGCAGAATTGGACAAAATTACTTATGAAAGAGATAATTTTAGACAAGCAAAGGAAGATCTGTGGAAACAAAGGCTTAATGAATTTATGGCAGACTGTTATATAGTAACAAATACAAGAGAATTACCAGATGCTTACCTGGGAGAGGAAGCTGAACTGGAGCTTAGAGACAGCTTGATCCTTTCTCTGAAGGAATCCTGTGCAGTGTTCCACCACCTCAAGAAAGTTGGAAGATCTTCAACCATTCAGCAGGAGAGAAAACACTTCGTTCCTTGGCTTTAGAGTTTGCTCTCCATCATTACAAACCCACTCCCCTTTACTTTATGGATGAAACTGATGCAGCCTTTGATTTTAAAAATGTGTCCATTGTTGCATTGTATATATGTGAACAAAAATGCCCAGTTCATCATAATTTCACTTTGAAACCACATGTTTGAGATTTTGGATAGACTTATTGGAATTTACAAGACATAAAATATAACAAAAAGTGTTGCTGTCAACCTAAAAGAAATTGTATCTAAAGGACTGTGTTGAATTTGTTCCTACTGAAGACTTCCAATTAAGTTGGGATACATGTAGTGTATTATATTGATTATCTAATTGTAATGAATTATATAAAAATACATATTCCTAAGCTGAATCACACACTTGGTTTGTATTTTACTCTGTTAATTAAAAGTCAAAGTCTAATAAAATATTCTCTGTACATGCAAAAAAGTTAACAAAACTAGCAACACTAAGGAGTTCTTATACATCCTTCAGTCAATTCTATCCTAAATATGTTTTGACTTTATTGCCACTCTCCACATTTTGTATATATGAAGACATAGAATTTCAACAGTATATTTATCCTGAAAATTCATAGGCATGTAAGTAGTAAGATTTCTAATCCAGAAAGCGATTGTTTGCTAATATGAATTAACCAATAGTTTGAATATTTAAGTGCTTATAAAGTATTTGAAAGAAAAAAGTCAATCAACCTAAATGGGAACTTGGCTTAGCAGTTAAGATGCTATTTGGGATGCATGCATTCCTTCTGGGAGTGCCTGGGTTCAAGCCTGCACTCATCCCATGTGGGAGTGCCTGGGTTCAAGC